TGTCCCCCAGTGTGCGTCTGAGATTCCGTACATTCCAGACGAAACTCATCTTCCAGTGCACTCAGCAGTAGTCAGTAACAGTGTTGTGTGTGTGTGTGTGTGTGTGTGTGTGCGTGCGTGCGTGCGTGCGTGCGTGCGTGCGTGCGTGCGTGCGTGCGTGTGTGTGTGCGCGCGCGTGCGTGTTTGTTTGTTTGTGCGTGGGCACTGGGCAGATGTCCGCAGCGGTCGCGGGTTACCATGGCGATGCTGCCGAATTCCTCGCTAATGCACCGCTAGCCGCGGAGAGCGAAAACACGAGTTCTGCCTCCCCTTCTCCCCCATTCACCTCTCCCCCTCTCCCCTTCTCCCCCATTCACCCTTCTCCCCCATTCATCCCTTCCCTTCTCCTCCATTCACCCCTCCCCCTCTCCCCCGTTCACCCCTCCCTTTCTCCCCCATTCATCTCTCCCCCTTCTCCCCATTCATCCCTCCCTCTCTCCCCCATTCATCCCTCCCCTTCTCCCTCATTCATTCCTTTCCCTCTCCCCCATTCATCCCTCCCCCTCTCCCCCATTCACCCCTCTCCCCATTCCCCCATACTCGTCTTTCCCTATTCACATTTCCCATTTACTTTCTGCACTCACCCCTTCTCCTTCCTATCCCTGCCTGTTCACCCCTTCTCATTCTTATCCCCCTTCTCTCATTCCCCCTTCCCCTCCTTCACCCTCCTTCTCCCCCGTGTAATTTCGTTTGCATCCACGCGCTTGTAATGAGTCAATCTCATCTGAGCTCACTCCGCAGCGCACTCTAAACGAGGGGACAACCGCCGGAGGAGAAGGAGGATGAGGAGGAGGAGAAGGAAGAGGAGGAGGAGGAGGAGGAGGAGGAGGAGGAGGGTTGAGCGCTGCAGCAGCAGCTGGATGTGGCGGATGGGATACTGAGGGTCCGCGGGGAGATGACGAATGGGTCCGAGGGGGGATGTGTGCGCGCTTGTGCAGCAGAGTAGACACGTATTAGCGAGAGAGAGAGAGAGAGAGAGAGAGAGAGAGAGAGAGAGAGAGAGAGAGAGAGAGAGAGAGAGAGAGAGAGAGAGAGAGAGAGAGAGAGAGAGAGACAGAGACAGAGACAGAGAGACAGAGAGACAGAGAGACAGAGAGACAGAGAGACAGAGAGACAGAGAGACAGAGAGACAGAGAGACAGAGAAAGATGGATCGGAGGAGGGTGTCGTTCACACGAGAGCTATGCGGAGGGGAAGAGGTGGGAAGGGGTTCATCCCCACGCAAGAGGTAGTGGATGGTTTGGTTGGGTAATCCACAAAAGAGAGAGGAGAGGAGGAGGACTGGGTGAAGGGGCTTCACGCGATCGATGTGGGCTTCACACAGGATGCTGGTGAACAAGCAGGTTTCTTACTAGTGGTAGCGTGATAGCCATAAGCGTTGGGGGTCGTACCAAGCACGCGTTGAGATCAGTTGTTCTTAATGTTTTCTTGAAGGCGTAAGATTTTGATTCTGTTTTCCATCGTGTGGGGTGCGTTGTGTCGTGGCAGGCATGTGTCGAGATCAGTATTTTGTTCTCAATGGTTCTTTTTTCAAAACGGTTTTCAAAGCAGTAAACAAGTGTATATTGCTGTGTGCTTTGGCGTATCCAGTTCATGGTTGTGTAGTAACATCTCGTTCACGACAGCACTCGTGTATTTCTCCAAACATGGCGGATGGTTGTGGATAGAATTACACACATTTTCGTTTGAAATCGCGTTGATAGCGATGGTCCGTGGAAACCACGGGGGTAGAGTGGAGACTAGTGGAGACTAGTAGAGACTGGTGGGGTTTAATCAGCGGTGCCTGGCGCAGCAGCAGCGGCAGATGTACGGAGCTGGCCGCTTCATTGCCGTTAGCATCCATTATGTATGGCACGAAATAGGGAATGGCATATGGAAGCCTCCAGAGTAAGAAATGCAATCACTAGGGGCGCTGGTTAAATTCGTTCGAATTGTCGACGCCGCGGCAAAGGCGGCGGGTGTGCACAGCGTCTGAAGGTTTGAAATACGCGTGCAGTCGCGGTCACTTGTGGCCCGTTAATATGGTCGATGCTTTAACCGACGTGTGCCCGAGATGAATTCGCGGTCTCTGCTTTAATATCTACGAATTGCTCAGTGGTACAGTAACATTTAACAGTGCCGAACATGCTGAACTATACTAGTTCTGTGAACTAATTCCCACAACAAATAATTCCTACAATTAAGATGAAGTTATGCGACACATATTATAGTTATTACGTGATAAACGGTCATCGTGTACGCGGTAAAGGGTTGCGCGATAAAAATGAGAACAAACTGAAGCATTATGCGTTTTTCTCCCGTAAAAAGTACGTACGACATGGTCATGAAAAGTCAGTTCATGCATGTGGCGTCCGTCCCCCTGGTGACCTTCCCTCCAGGCTCCAAAATGTGTTCAGTTGTGCATGTGGCTCAAGCGAAGCCATATTTATCCCATTTATTATAATATTCATATTATTATGCATTTATTATACATATATATTTCAGTCCACGCATTTATTTTGTCATATCGCGGTTGTTCGACGTCACATCACAGTTAAACCACGGCGCTGGCGGTATAGCCGCGCGCGAAAGCTCCGGTGGTTTGGCTTAAAATCTTCACGGTAAATTTGCACATGCAAAAAAATCTCATTATAAATAAAAATGGTCGAGCCTTTTCGCTCACACAAAGCTACTCTTCGAGTTTTCGCACAAATTTCATGCGTATTTTCTTAGAGCTTTTAACTCGATCGTCGCCGTGCAAAGAGAGACGTGCGCATATCCAAGCGGTATTCATCCCTGCCTATTGTGATTCCGACGGAAAAAACCCATCAATAATTCAGCGATGTTAACGAAGAGTCGGATAGGCACGGCTGTAATATTGATGCGAGCATTGATTAATAATGAAGCTGGCCGGCCGCAACACGGGCCAGCGTCTCTGATTGTAATTATAATTAAAGGCTGTGCCCTCCGCGTCACGAGTCGGGGCAGATGGCGGTGGCTCATCCCTGCATGCGGTGTCTGTCTATCTGCTGGTGAAATCACATGCTGCGCGCGTATGCGCTCAATAGGCACGTAAACGCGTACACACGCAGAAACACACACGCACGCACGCACGCCACGCACGCGCACACACACACACACACACGCTATGACTTTATTTACCACACGCTCCAGGCATACATCAACGTTAACTGCTGCATACCAGTGTACATCGAGCCTACCCGCATTAAATATAAGTAGATAATTGGTTTCCGCCCCTGTCTGTATACGTATAGCCCTAGCTACGCATCAACCATACATAGCATGTAAGCAGATGTAAGATAACTGCTTCGTATAGCTAAATCTAAGCCGAACAATTTTGCAGCAGCAACAGCAGCAGCGATAGCAATAACAACAACAATAACAACACCACCACCAGCAGCAGCAGCAGCAGCAACAACAACAACAACCACAACAGCAACAACAGTATCAGTAGGCCTAACAACAATAACGGCAGCAACAAGTGCCAACAACAACAATAACGGCAGCAACAACAACAAAAACAGAAGCAGTAGGCAACGGCAACAGTAACAGAATTTTGTGGCAGCATGCAGAAGTTACAAGCTTATGCTTCGCCCATGCTTTCCTCTGTGTAGTACGTAGTAAGTAATTGCCTCTCGTTAATTTCACAAGCCGCTGATGATATAATGACTCCGGATTATGAGAGGAGTGCGTGCGGCGCTGATTTCATCCCATTTTCTCCGCCAGCGAAAGTTGTTATCCCTACTTCTTATGTGTAGTACGTACACGTGTAGCCTGATGATATGCAAATAAGCAAACTGCTCGTATGCACGACCGCCTGGCCTTTGTTTTTCTAAGTTAGAGCAGGAAATCGAACCTCTTTGTGAGATTATTTACTTCTGCTTGTAAGAGTAACCATATAGAATAATATCATGTGAAGTTGGGCAAGCCGGTAGGGTAGGAAGACACGGTGTCCCTGTTCATGTTCGTTGTTCATTGTCTTTCGTAGTTGTAGTCGGATTAATGACAGTTTTGATAGCGTGGTCACCCAAAGGATATCGAGTTACCAGTCTCAACTTGCTTCCTTGTCAAACTGATAACGGTTCGAGAGCAAACTTTAGCGAAAATGTGAAGTTATCAATCGAGGTTTTTTTGAAAATGGGGGGGGGGCAAAGAGTGTATACGTGAGCGTGTCTCTTGCGTTTCAGATAGATAACTAAATGTTTCTCTAAATGTCAAAGTAGCAATCTTAGCCATTCTGTTTGTCATGCAAATGAGTGACAGTTACGGAGATAAATTTCTCCTTAAAACGGCTTATGGTTACCAAGCGAGGTTTTTTCAAAGGGCAGGAAATTACGTAGTGTCTGCCTGCCTGCTGCTATAATAGGTAGCAGCTATAGGCAGTAAATCTTTCTGCAGAATCTAAAATAACCTAGCTTGTCAAGTTTATAACATTGAGCCAGCAAAGCTTTCAGAAAAAAATGAATGTTATGGTACTAAGCTTGCCAAGTAGATTTCATGGTTAGTTAGCAAATCTTCCATCCTAATCTTCCCCACCCCTAAGTTACTAAACATGTCAAAGACATAGTATAGTTGGGAAGTAAATATTTCCTAAAAATAACTCCTCACCTTATCAGGCGTATTATTTATTGTCAAATAGATAGCAGTGAGCGAGCGAACGTGGAAACGTGAACTTGATTTCTACTCCGTAATTAACTATAAACAAATTAATAATTGAGTACAAACAAACGAAATATTATTATATGAATCATTATAATAATATAATTATAATAATAATGTAATATAATAATATAATAATAACAGCAACATGATGTTATAAATACAAGATAGCAGATATAGATAGATAGCATAACAAACATAAAATAGTTAAATCACATGTGTGTACCGAGTGAATACCTTCGGCCGCGAACCCCTGACTCGCCCACTGAAGCTGAACCCGCCTGTCTTTCTTTGACATTGCAGCGAAGGTGCTTCCGGCGAACATCGACGCCTACGAGCGCATGATGACGATGCTGCAGACGTCGACGCTGCGCGAGCAGAAGCTGTCCGTCATCCTGTCGCAGTACCTGCTCTGCGTCGCTCACCTGCCGCGCGACTGCTCGCCAGACGAGTTCCGCCGGCTCGTGTCGATGCACAGCGGCACCGTATGTCGCTGCTTCCTCATGCCGAGCGAGCTGACAGGTAAGATGGCTTAGCTGCTGTAGTTAATTACAGGTGAGATGTACAGGTGTGGTTAATTACAGGTGAGACTTACAGGTGAAGCTGCTGCTTCCTCATGCCGAGCGAGCTGACAGGTAAGATGGTGGCGCATGCGATGCATGTATTAATTACAGTGGATGCGCAGATAGGGGTTAATTGCAGCATGAGATGTACAGGTTAGTTAATTACAGTTGATCGAAACTACAGATGTGGTTAATTACAGTGTGAAACATACAGGTGCTAGTTAATTACATGTGAGACTTAAGGGTGCTACCATTGCGTCATGGAAGATCCAGACAAGCTTCTCTATCACAACCGTGACACCTTCGTTTGTTATAGCCGCAGCAGTTTCACAAGCACTCATTCTCTCATTGCTTCTGGATACTGTTCCCTCGCACCACGGAGGGAGGAGGTTAATAGTGATCGCTCTCGTTTATGTGTGTTACGGTTTTGGGGTGTTCGCAGCGATCTGCATTGTTAGCGCGTCGAAGTCAGCAGCAGGCCAGTCAGTCAGCAGCAGCGAGCGGACGAGCCAGCTCATCACACACATGTTTCATGAGGGGGGGCGGGGGGGGACGTCTGGGTATGTCCTGGCAGCAGCGTATGCCACATCGTCGAGTGCCCTCTGTCTCAAGATATATATATATTTATATCGGAATTTCCACACATCGCACGATCTTAGAAGGCGTCAGCTTCCGACTCCCCAAGTTCTAACGTTTAGTAGAGTGCGCTAGTCGGCACCGTTTCTTAAGCGGTAGTAGACAGGTTGCCATCGATAGCGTCCACAGCATAGATAGCAACAGAATAGTAAAACACAAACGCAAAGTATCTATAAGCTATCTCTCAGTATGTTCTATAATGTACCATCAGCAATAATTTCGCCATACAACATACTACATCGATTGACTCACAGAAATGACAAGACGCACACAGCCAGAAATAACAGGTATATCAAGTAATTTCGACCGCTAGTAAGACGTGGAATCAGAACGAGTAACTAGCCTTGGCAGGGAGTGAAGGCTGGAAAGGTGAAACGGTGGAAGGTACGTGTGGAATAGCGGACAGATATAGAAGGATAGGACGGAAAGAGACGGCGAGTAGCGGGCAACTGGACCGTGCACGGGAAAACTGGAAACCGAGTCGTTCTCTACCTGCGAGCTTGGCGTCAACAAATCCGGTCCCTAGGAAGATGTTGGCACGGTGCGGCATCGCGGCGGAATCAACCCATTATATGTGCAATGGAACTTGAAGTGCGTTTATCGTAGTTGCGTTCAGTGCCGGCGAACTATGATAGAATACGAACGTAAATATAGAACACTGATGGGACCTGGGCGCTTTTCACTCACACGCCATATACGCGCACGAACCAGACAACGCACGCAACGCACAACTGACAACACAACACACAACCACACACACACCCACCACACCACACCACGCAACAATAACCGCACACGACACACGCACACGCACACACCACGTTCTTAAGTTCAGTTTCCTTGCTGCCCGTCCGACCCCCCTGCGCGGGGAATGTAATGGATGGGTCCGATCGATGGATCGATTATTGCGCGGTATAGCACCGGTCAACGTCAGCTGTTATTATCACGTCGTCCGTCGTCGTCGTCATCGCCGAATCGTCGCGGACAGCGCGCCAACTCGCGACCTGACTGCCTGCTGCCTCCAGCAGATATTACATGATGATGGAATGCTGGCGGCATCTGACGTTTGTTCGTGCATGCTTAGAGATGCTGCGCCTTCACGCGGCTGGCGCAGCGTAGTTAAGCGAGATAGATTGCGGCTGCCGTCGATTTGCGTAAGTGTGCAGCCACGTAAGAGTAGTAGGATGGTGTGGTAGGGTGGCGGCGGCGGTGGCGGTGGTCGTCGTGGTGCTGGTAATAGTAGTGGTAATGCTACTAGCAGTGGTAGTAGTAATAGTAGAATTAGTAGTAGTAGTAGTAGTTGTAGTTGTAGCTGTAGCAGTAGCAAGTAGCAGTAGCAGTAGCAGTAGCAAGTAGCAGTGCGTGCAAGTAGCAGTAGCAGTAGCAGCCCAGCAGCAGCGCAGCAGCAGCAGCGCAGCAGCGAGCAGCAGACAGCAGTAGGTGGCGGCGGTGAGGCGTCGCAACAGGTAATTGTCTATTGTAGCGCAGCAGAAGACAACGGACGATGGCAGTGCAAACAGTGATCGGCAGTAGCAGATACAGCAACGTATAGACACAGGTGGAAATATGCAGGTCATTTCTGTGGGCAGAGAGGGAGGGAGCGAGATTATTAGGTTATTTGCATTCCGGTGTATTCCGTTGTATTCCGGTTGTATTTTTGTATTATTTGTATTCCGGTGGAAAGAATTGGGGGTGGGGGCGGATGAATAAGTGACTACTGTCAGAGAGAGAGTCTCAGTGACAGCGACAGCTGTGCAGATAATAAACGAAATTGGTGTAATATAATATCAAGCGCTAATAATACACGATACATATGTACGTAATACGTAATATACATAATATCAGGACTGATAATATACATAACACATAAATCATATACATAAATACATATGTATTATTAACTCTTGATAATATTTCCCCAGCCCGTGTGACCTATAGCTTAGACATGCAAAGTACTGTCGCCTCTCCTCATCTTCTCTTACTCTCATCTCCTCTACTCTCTCTCTCATCATCATCATCTCTCTCTCTCTCTCTCATCTCTCTTACGTCTCCTCTCTCTCTCTCTCTCCATTCTCTCTCTTCTCTCTCTCATCTCGTATCTCATACATCTCTCTCTCTCGTCTCTATCTGCTCCTCTCTATCCTCTCGCTCTCATCTCTACTCTCATCATCTCTCTCTCATCTCTCTCCTCTCTCTCTCGCTCTCTCTCTTCTCTCTCTCTCTCAGCATCTCTCTCATCATCTCTCTCATCGTCTCTCATCCTCTCTCTCTCTCTCTCTCGTCTCTATTCTCTCTACTCTCTACTCTCTTCTTCTACTCTCTCCCCCTCCGTCTTCTCTTTCTCGTCTTTCTCTCTCCCCGTCTTTATCCCTCCCTCCCTCCCAATCCTCCTCCTATCGTCTACTTTTCTACTACATACTCTCTACACTCTCTATTCTCTCTCATCTCTCTCTCTTTCTACTCTCTCCCTTCTCTCACCCACACCCTCCTCCCATCGAACAAACCATCCACCTCACTCCCTCCCCAAAACCATCCCTCCCTCCCATCCCTCCCTCCCTCGCCTCCTTCCCTCCCTCCCTCACGTCCGGTCACCTCCCAACCTACTCTTCTCTCTACTCTCTCTCTTACTCTCTCTTCCTCTCTGTCTACTCACTCTCTTCTTTCTTCTCTATCGTTTCTCTCTCTCACTCTCTTTCTCTCTTCTCCCTCTCTCCTCCTCTCTCACCTCCCTCCCTCCCTAACCTCCTCCCCTCCCTCTCTCTCCTCTCTTCTCCCTCTCTTCCTCCCTCCCCATCACCTCACCCTCGCTTATCTCTCTCTCTTCGCTCTCATCTCTCTCTCTCTCGTCTCTCTCTCTCTCTCTCGCATCCTCTCTCTGTCTCTCTCTCCTCTCTCATCTCGTCTCTCTCTCTCTCTCCTCTCTCATCACGGTTACTTATTTCGCTCGTCGGGTGGCATGCCCGCGTGTTGACTGTTCAATCGGTGCCGCCGCAATGCCCGTGGAAACACACGAACCACCTCGCCGGTAACACGTGGCCCAAATGGCCATTAAAATCTTCAGTAAATGCTGGGGGCCATGATTATGACTAACTTATGATTATTATCATTAACTCTGGTTTTCTCTCCGAGAGCTGCTCATGATTTAATACTGGCGGGGGGGGGGATATAGTCTGAACATGATGTCGCACATGCTGCCGTGTCTGTGCTGTGTGCCAGGCCGTGATTTATTTCGTGCATCTCACTGCTAGATTATTTTACTGTTTTGCGCTGTTTGGCCCAGCAGGTGTGTTGCGCGGCACCCGCTGGCTGGTTGGTTATTACGTCTAGTCAGGAGCTAAAAATACATATGTAGTATTTAGCTCATGCTCTAGTACGTAGTAGATAACGGCCCCGGCGGCAGCGGCAGCGGCAGCGGCAGGGATGCCGTCTAGATTTTAATTCATAATAAGAGGAAGAACATTTCGAGATTAACTTACTCTATCGAACGCATATATCGTGCATATTTACTTATAATAATGTTACCAGGAGTGAATAATAATAGATTATTAGTTATTAGATAATGATGAATATTAATTATAATTATTAATTATCTAAGATAAATAATCTATTATTATTTCAAAGCTCCCTGATTGTTAGCTTCGAGCGCACGTGCGGGTGTGCTACGGATGCCACTGCAATCGTGCAACCAGTCACTTGCTGCTATATGAACTATATAATGGATATAATTAGTAATATATATATATATATATATATAAATAAATAAATATATATATACTTGTAGCGTTAGATGAACAAAGTGTAATTACATTTCTACTTCGGATTAACTCTAGCCTTTGTCTGGCCTTCATCGGGCAGTAATTTGTGGCATTGTTTTGACGTCACGTGTGTTTAATTAACCCCGGAGCAGCGATACGTGTTGCATTATAACGTTATATAATATATAAGTACATTATACAGCTTGAATAATCGGCGCCACGCGTTAATTAGTGAGAAGGCAATGTTAACCGCGATCTTCCGTTTAATGAATTAAATCCACGCCCGATTGTAACCTACTTTGCTTTGGGAATAATATCCCGCAAATTATCTATAGAGGTCATTACCGGAGGCGGCCTCGCCCTATAGAGCTACTACGTCAAATTCAGCATTGTTCTGATGCCTGTGAGTGTTTGTAGGGAAAGGGAGTATTTGTGCGCGTGCGTCCGTGTGTGCGTGTGTGCGTAGGCAAAGCCTGGACGTCATTACCTAAGAAAACATCACGTGGTGGTTGGCTGCATTAGCTGGGTAGGTTTGACCGCTTATCGGGGCAGATTTCTGACATTTTCG